TAATTTTTTGCAGTATACATAGTATGTTATTATTTACGAGTGAACTCAGAATATTATTTGAATTTCCATTATAATGAGAATTCACGTTGTAAACATCAAGCGTTGTGGAACTATTTACATATTTAACAATATCATGGACATTTGTAGCCTCGGTGATCATGGACGAAACCAGGTATATTTCAACTATGGGAATCTGAACTCAAAATATGATGATTCAACCCAAATAACCTGGTTGAAATGTGTCTCCTGAGTGAGTCAAAGGGTGTTTTATTTGAAAATTCGAAAATCATTTGTGCAAGTGACTGGTTGATCCCTCTTCAATTCTACGCCACTGGCAAAATTGCGATGTCATCACAACTTCTCGATTATTCAACAATTTTTACGTAAATGTTTTCGTTTGTCTTCAGAGCGATAATTATTGTTCGAGATATGTCAAATTATACATGAAGCTGTGAAGTTATTTTGCTTTGGAAGTGTATTACGTCGATCTTCGAAACTTCAATCTTTATCAACAAAAAAACATAATAACATAAAAGACAGGAGATGTTACAAGGTGATTCAAATTTTTGAATATAATAAATAATAAAACACCCTGTAACAGCTCCTACCTGATATGTTTATTATGTTTCTATTGTCAATATGATCTGAAGTTTCATTTGTTCGTTGACTGCAGTATATTGGTACTGTGATATTGTGCAGCTTCATGTTCAAGTTGAAATATTTTGAAAAAAAATTACTTCATCGCCATGGAGAAGGACTACAATATCTACATAAAAATTGTTGGGGAATCAAAAAATCATGACAGAATGGCTATTCCGCCAGTGTTGTAGAATTTCGGAGAGCTCAACCAGTTATTTGCTCCAATCGTATGGGTGTATAGTATTCACACTTTCCACCAAATATGACAATAATACGCCAGATAATTCAAAATACAGGGCATAATTGATTTTAGAATTTTCAAATGGAACAATACCTGTATCGCAGATAGAAGACACATTTTCTGTAGGTGAATCATCATATTTTCAGTTCAGGATTCTATTGTTGAAATATTTCCAATCAGTAATGAATCACCCTGTATGAGTTCCAAAACCCACATGTGCAGAATCCTAATGAATGTCACATGGATGTAGGAAAATGTCTAAAAAATATATATACAGTGTACATTCGAAAATGATCCACCCTGAATAAACTTTGGAAATATCAAAATTTGTTCATGATTAAGAAAAACAAGTCGAAAATCATATGAATATTCTCGTTGGAGCTGGGGTAATCAATTCAACAGGATGTTGTATACTTTTTAATGGGTCATTTTATATACAGTGTGTCCACCTTAAGGACTTACCACCCCTGTAAAATCGTTATTATCCGACCAATTTCAAAAAATTTTTTGTTGGATAGGTATTCGAAATGCCCATCCAATGAGAAAGTGATCTAATTCTTGGACTGTTATCGTGGCCAACTGATGCGACAAATTTCAATGACCCATATTCCAGAAAGTACTATTAGGGATTTTTTTTCCACGAAACTTGATGATGGATTCTGAATCAGTACCACTTGAAATACACCTGTACCGATTTTCATCATTATAAAACACAGGGTGTCCGAAAAAACGAATCATCATTTTCTTCAAATAGGTGATCAGCAAATGTAGTTCTGTGGTTTTTCTAGAAAGAAATAATCACAAATTATCATTGAGGATTATTTCAAATATACCTGTACCAATTTTCGTCATATGAATATACAATGTGTCCGAGAAAAAAATTAAAAAGGATAGGTAAGCAATCTTTTTCATCCTGATAATTGTTCACTCAAAATAAAAAGATGAATCAGGATCACTTGGGACATACCTGTACCAATTTTCATCATCATCAAATACAGGGTGTTCGAAAAATCAAATTAATATTTTTTTTTTTTAGTTGAAGAAAAAATATTGCCTACTTTTTCTTTTTAATTGTTTTCTCATACACATCGTATTTTTGAATGACGAAAATCGGTACAGATATGTTCAAAGTGATCCTCAATAATAATGTGTCATCAATTCTTCTCAAAAATACAATACTACATTTTCTGATCACCTATTAAAAAAAAAAATAATTCGTTTTTTCGGACACCCTGTGCTTCATGATGATAAAAATCAGTAAAGGTGTTTTTCAAGTGATCGTGATTCAGAATCCATCATTGTTTTTGTGAAAAAAAAATCCCTAATAGTACTTCCTCAAATATGGGTCAATAAAGCTGGTCGCAGTTGGCCCCGATTACAGTTCATGAGTGAAATCAGTCTCTTGTTGGATGGGCATTTCAAATACCTACCCAACAAAAAAAAGTTTTTCGAAATCGATCAGGTAATAACAATTTTACAGGGGTGGTAAGTCCTTAAGGTGGACACACTATATGTTACGAAATAAGGACTGTTTTTCTCGATGATGAGTTTTACACGGGTTTTACATTTATTTTCTGAATGTTTTTGCTCGTTGGTCTCGTCTCCGTTGGGATACCTGAATTTTCAAATGATGAATCAAGTTCTCTGATAAAATCCTGCAAATATTACTGAATTCGAAATCATCATGATGGTTGTTTTTCCACGGAACTCCTTTTTGGAAAACTTAGAATATAGGGTAGAAATTTTGACGCATTTGATGTGACATTCATATTTGGTGTGACATCTACCCCAGAGCATCTCATATATAAATGTTTCAAATGCATCAGCAAATATTATTTTCAAACTCGAATGCACAATATTACAAAATTGTTCGGGTACATATATCAAGTAGTGTTATGTCTGAAGGTTACCGTTCGGGAGCAACAAATTATTCCAAATCATGACAAAATTTGCTGATAATGATCAGGAAAATGTTATCAAATTTGGATTGAGAATTTTCTGGTAATTATTTCCGAAGTTATTATTCAGGGTGGGTCGATTTGAAGCTGAATATTTTGCACTAATTCTTCTTTATGTTCACAACCCAGATAGCACGGGACGTCCCGAAGACGTCCATTTTAGGTCCATTTTTGGTCTGAACGTCCAGGACCTTTCATAGACGTTTTTAAGACGTCCATTATTGGACATACTCCGGACGTCCAGAAAAAGACGTCTTTAAAACGTCCAATTTACAGACTCTCACGGTATATCAGTTTGAATTGATATAAGTAGGTAGGTATATATAAATTTTGAAATTATAATTATTGAATTGAATATGGACATGAATGATGTCAAAAAATATATTATATATCAGCTGTATCAATATATTGAATTTCATTTTATTATTAATATTATGAATTTGAAATATTTATGATTTTAACTGATTTGTACCAACTTATAAGTTATGTTGAATCATATTCCTTCAATCACATAATACCTATACAGTTTGACCATTCTTATACCCACCCTGAAGTATTCATACAAGCCGCGCTTTTATAATAAGATTTGATTGAATCACTGAATATGTAGAGCAACCGTAGAACGCATGCGTGCTCAGCGTTGCCAGACTTACTATTTTAGCAGTAGATCTACTGTTTTTGTCTCCGTTCTACTGTTCAACTATTCAAGGCAATGGTCTGATTGGTCAAGTTTTGATATGACGTAACTACCCAATATGCAACAATGAAAAATTAATGGGACATCACAGTAAGAAGATGTATGATAAAAATATACTGCAACTATCATATTCAGTCTGATTAGTGAAAATTAGCTTTTATTTCCAATCTGGTTGCGGTTTTTACAAATTTTATTTTTTATTTCATTATTTTTTGTTATTCTTCGTTCGATTTTTGATAGGTATAGAGACCGAACATGATTTTTTTTTTTCGTTTATTATATAGGTGACTATGTTTTATCATTTATGATAGCAATTGTGATGATTATCAAAATCTTCTGTTCAGTTTTGATGATCTACTGTTTTTCCCCACCCATCTACTGCTCCGACAAATTTTCATCCGGCAACACTGTGCGTGTTACGTGTGAAACTGTGAAACGAAAACGTAGGAAGATGGCGTCCGTCAGTTGACCACTGCCGAGTGCCGATTAAACTGTGATTCAGGTCCAAGGACATTCTGAACTTTTCGGGTTATTAGACTGTAAAAGCAGTGAATAAGTGAAATCTTTGCGGATATCATCTATCAACTGGTGAACTTCGATCTCGAGTTCCATCGAGATGTTTATTTGAAGGCAAGTATGGCTATCGACGCTATCGTTTTATTTTCATTCGCATGAAGATGCTTGAGTAAGAACATCAAATCTGTAGTTGAAAACATTAGATACCTTTCTAAATAATTTGATCTCATGCAAAGCTCTACCTAATATCCTATTTCCATCATCTACCAAAGTTTATATTTTTGTATATAGTCAAAACATAATATAATTCGTGCAAGGTTCAAAGAGGTTATATAGGTACCTATCTAAAAGAATCAGTTTATGTATGGAATAAGTTCTCAATGAAATAAAAATAATGAAATATTCCGCTATACTGACTACTACACGTTGAAAGTGGGTGTGTGTTTATGGTTTATGGTATTCACAGAAGATGTTATTGAATATTATTATTATTTACAGATCCAGTGAAGAAGACAACAGAAGGCTGCCAATCAGAAAAATACATCATCGCGCCTGCGTACCTGGATGAATCACGCGACGTTTTTAGTGGTGCAGCTGCTGATATACGATATGGAAGAGTGAAATTGAAACAACTACCTGAATCTCTGTTCATATTATTGTTTGCGAATAAATGTTAACTAATATTCAAGTATTTCACTCTTCAGATGGGTCAGAAAATCAATAATCAATATTGTCTGAATGTCCTCAATACGTCCATTTTTCATCCCAAAAAGGTCCTAGTCTGGACCTAAACTGGACGTCCCCAAAACATCCTGATTATTAACAATGGACGTCCTCAAAACGTCCATAAGACGTCCGTCGTCCGGAAATGGACGTCCCCAAAACGTCCTGAATGTCCAGAGTGGACGTTTTTAAAACGTCCATAAGACGTACTTGTGCTGATTGGGAATATGGTTCAATTTCTCAATATATCCCCATAAATTACATATGTAATATGAGTGAGGATCAATCAACTTTTTTACTGCTATTATAGTTCTGGCATGACATCTCTCCATTCTTCTGCGGGAATTTCTCTTCTTGAGACAAACTGAAGAGACTGGCGAATTCAGCTTTCTTCTGAGCATAATTGACGAAGTTTTCTGAAACAAAAGTATAATTCAGGAGGGGTGAAATAACTTACAGTAACTCACTCCACCACATAAACAATTTGATTGACCAACGGTCATGGACAAAAAGGCATGTTTCGAAGGATTAATCCTTCATAATCAGCAAAGGACCCCGCACAAAACCATAGGGAATTTGCCCACAGTGAGATCTGTCCGAAATTCACATATGTTATTGGTATGGAGTTTCTGATCAAATGTTTTCATGTGACCAATCCTCTAAGACCAAAGATTCAGCTCTCAGGGTCGTATTCAGTATAGGTGCCAAATAAACAGTGACACTTTTTTTTTCAAGCCCATGATTTTTGTACCTCCCATTATAATTTAATTGAATGAGAAATGTTGCGAAATCTTGGCATTTGTCTTTTAGCACAAGTCCTCTGTGAAACATGCCTTGTCCTACAGGACCGTATTTAGTAAAACTGTATTTGCCAAAGTGCCGAATCGAATTGATTTTGTTATGACTTTGTTATTTCTTGTCCTATTCCAGTGGTCGTTTGATAGATGAATGTAGATTTCTTTGTGTACATAACAAAAGTGGTCACCATCTTGATATTGAGGATGGTCGGCCTAACATTCAATCTATATAAAGGACATATCTCGTAGCTTTTTAGGAATGATATAGTAACAGGAAAAGATAAGAACACGTTTCGATTGTTGAAATCGGTCATTTAATTTTTCAATTACCTAACTCTATAATATAAATATAACTCTACTATCTAATTGAAACTTCATCTAATTCATAACTAACAAAATTGAAACTGATATTTTCAGGGTGGTGAACAAAAAAGTCAAGCACACACTATCAACATAATTCCCGAACACTTACAGCTGCTGGAGTATTGCATCTTGCACTGGACGATTTTCGGCATCTTTAATATGCTGTAACACAGAAGTCGATGAGTAATTCACATTTTGATTATGTCGGGCAAATCCTAAATACTACAATATGCTACTTAGAGATGATCATGAGTCGTTTGAAATTGATCTCAGAGTGAATGAACCTGGATTCATTAGACTTGGAGTGTATTCTCGATTCAGGAGGAGAAAAATATATCGAGTATTTATTCAATACACTCCGCATGAAAACCAGCCTGACGAGAATGATGAAGAAGATGTATTGATAATAGGATACTACTGCAGTTGCAAATCAAGGGCAAGGACACTATAGGAACATGTGCTCTTATTTGTAGCATATTGTGGTATTTAGGATTTGTCCGCCATAATCAAAATGTGAATTATCCATCGACTTCTGTGTTACAGCATATCAAAGATGCAGCAGCTGTAAGTGTTCGGAAATTATGTTGATAGTGAGTGCTCGACTTTTTTGCTCACTACCCTATAAATATCGGTTTCAACTTTGTTAGTAATGAATCAGATGAAGTTTCAATTAGATAGTAGTTATATTTATATTATAGAGTTAGGTAATTAAAAAAGTAAATGACCGATTTCAACAATCGAAACGTGTTCTTATCCTTTCCTGTTACTATCATTCTTAAAAAGCTACGGGATATGTCCTACATAAAGATTAAATGTTAGGCCGACCATCTTGAATATTAAGATGGTGACCACTTTTGTTATGTACACAAAGAAATCTACATTCATCTACCAAACGACCACTGAAATAGTGCAAGAAATAAGAAAGTATTAACAAAATCAATTCGATTCGGCACTTTGGCAAATACAGTTTTACTAAATACGGTCCTGTAGGATGAGGCATGTTTTACAGAGGACTTGTGCTAAAAGACAAATGCCAAGATATCGCAACATTTCTCATTCAATTAAATTAAAATGGAAGATACAAAAATCATTGACTTGAAAAAAAAAGTATCATTATTTATTTGGCACCTATACTAAATACGGCCCTGAGAGCTGAATCTTTGGTCTTAAAGGATTGGTCACATAAAAAACATTTGATCAGAAACTCCATACCAATAAAATATGTGAATTTCAGACAAATCCCACTGTGGGCCAATTCCCTATGGTTTTGTGCGGGGTCCTTTATAAGAAGAAGGATATCTGTAGGAAGAAAACAATGCTGATGTTAGTTTTTGAGTATTGTTAAAGAGTCCGAATATACATACCATTATTGGTGGCAAGAGAAAATTACTCAAATAACCTAAGGGGGTACCTGTTAGGAAACAAACATTATAACCAGCTCTATAAGAGCATAAATTTCAAAAAGTGTTTGATGTAAAAAAAAATTTGAAAATACCAACATGTGGGTCTGAATTTGTTGAATCAGGTTAACTTATCACAAATGTCAATCGACAGAATGACACTTGACAATGATGACGCTGAGGACAAAACATTACATCAGATTTTTTTTATGTTCTGGTTCCCACAAAAAGGGATATCCTATAATGTTCAGAGAACATCGTGAGAACCAAGGGAAATAAGGTAGGAATTGGTGTTCTTCTTGAATTTCTGGATGTTCCATTGCCTCGCTGTTCGTTGGATGAACGAGTCTTTGAAGAGAGATTTTCTGCAGGTCTCCAAAGTGACCACGAAGAGGTACGAGGCCTCAACTCGACGGGTTAATTTCGCGGGGACTGCCAAGGGAGAAACAAATGTTGATATTTCAGAAAAAAATATCTATAAAATAGAGTCAGATTGCCAACTTTCCTACAAATTGAGATTTCAAATTCCAATGTAGAGATAATGGAAGATCTAATTCAACATATTGGGTTGAAAATTTCTCCTTGAAATTTGTCAATTCGGACAATCAGATTGAAATTTCAATAGTGTCAACAAGATGAACAACATTCGAATTATAATCATGCTCATAAACTTCGAAACTTTGCTTCAAATATTCTTTAGTTTGTCAATCGGATCTTTCATCTGTTCTTCTTCCAATTAAATGAGTTGTTTATAATTTTGATCATCAAAATCATGAATTTGACTCGAGAATTTCTGGACATTTGCAGTCTCTGTTACCCCTAATTTTGGTATAAAATTTTTTCCATTTCAATTCATTCCGCCACAACTCTCAATTTTTCGTCTGTTTCCTAATTCCTCCACTCTTTTTCATCAGTAAACTCTGATTATTCAAATATTTCTGCTCTGAATTTTCAATTAAGATATCTTGTTCATCTGTTTGCAATGCAGTTGATTTTGAGCAAGTTTGCCGATCTATTCTTCTCATGAATTAGTTAAATCTTCTCGATGTTCATGCTGTTTCTAGATTCAAAGTTTGGCTTGGAATGCAATTCATAGGAATGCAGAAATAATATTCGATATTTTGTGTGTTAATCATGTATCTATAGCTATCAAAGGATCCGAGTTATCGCACTACCCTAATAACACACTTATGTCCCATGGATATCCTTAGGACGTCTATAGGACGTTCGAATTTGGTACCGTGGACGTCCATTGGACGGCTGTGCGACGCACAAATGTCCCACTTGAGGACCAACAAGGGACGTCCTTGAGGGATGTCCATTGGACGACTATCGAATACCTTAATCCTACAGTATTGCTAATCAAGCACTACAGAGGACATCCTTAGGACATCCATAGGACAACCCATCAGCAATGCTAAGGGATATCAATTGGATGTCCCAGGGACGTACGAATTATTCTTGAATTTGAATTTTGCTGGGTCCGTCTAGGACCAGATCTTGCATATCTGATTAAGACATCCAGTTTACTTGATGGTCCGTAGAAGGTCTCCAAAAAGTTTCCCGAGGATGTCCAATGGACTTACGTGAAGGACATTGACAAGGAGTACTTATAGCCTTCGAGCAATCATTCGTCGGCGAGGTCTAAGTTAACGTCCTCGCAGGGACAACATACTGAAAGTACCGACTGGGACGTCCATAGGACGTTATTTCTAGGACTTTGGAAGAGTACAGTTCATGTACCAATTAGGACGTCCGACGGACATTCGAAGGATGTCCCTAAAGGACATTTCGATTGTTATACGATCCTGGAAATATTGAGGGCGTCTGTGCAGAGATATTTGAAGGAATATACCATCAGGGACATTTCATGGTTGTCAAGAAGGGACATTATAGGAGATCTGAAGTCATGCCAGAATATGTACTACTCGGGACATCCGATGGATGTCCCTAAAGGATCGTTTGAAATCATATCCCTTCAGGGACATTCCAAGGACGTCCTTGCATAGACATTCTACAATATGTACCACGTGGGACGTCTAAGGGATGCTATTTCTAGGACATTTGAAATGATGTACCGGCTGGGACATTCAGTGGACGTCCTTGCTCGGACATTGCATGAGATGTACGGGATGGGACGTCCCAAGGACACTTATTTCGGACATTCGGACGTGAATTGTACCAAATAGGGACGTCCCTAGGACGTTGTGTGTTATTAGGGTATTGCCTCACCCTGTATATTATCTCAATCGATACCTATCTTCGATCTCTGAAACGCATGAATACTCACCAAATGTTATATACCCAAGTTGATTCCTGTCAACTTGATCAAATACTTCTAATGCATATTCTCTACTCAAAGCTAGAGTTTGACACGCTGCTTTGCAAAAACCTTCTGGAGATAGTCGCCCGTATCCGCTTCTATCATAAATCTGGAATAACACATTCTTCAGTTTATCATATTTCAATTCTTCTCTGATGGACTTGGAATCTGCACTGACCTTGCAAGCTATGTGGAGAACTTCCAACACACTCTTGTTGTTGTCCATGCCGAAAACGCCTAACAGGTATTCTCTGAAGTCGATCACACCGCTATTTTTCTGAAAATAATAGTTATTATTACACCAAGGAAGTAAAAAATATCATTATCACCCAGGAACATGGATTTCACTCATTTTAGTTCTGTGAAACTGAAATATGGACTTATTTTCACTATGAAAGAACTCCTTTTCAATTTCAATTGAAAATCTAGTAGCCGCGACCATGACAGCATATGACAAGGCGTTATTGATAAATACCTACTAGATTCGGGTGCCATTCCTGCGAATATCGCCATCAGAACAGTGAATTCGGGTTGATTATTTTTTTATGTTCTGGTTCCCACGAAAGGAGATATCCTGTAATGTTCAGAGAACATCGTGACAACCAAGGGAAAAAAAGGTAGGAATTGGTGTTCTTCTCAAATTTCTGGATGTTATATGCCTCGAAAAACAACTCCCTTGGCAATGTGTTCCAGAGATCGCTGTTCGTTAGATGAACTGTCTTTGGAAAAAGATGTTCTGCAGGTCTTCAAAGTGACCACGAAGGGGTGCGAGGCCTCAACTCGAGGACTGCCAAGGGGAAAACAATTGTTGATATTTCAGAAGAGCATCGTCCATGGAAATATCTATAAAATAGAGCCAGGTCGCCAACTTTTCTACGGTGTTCCAGAGAAGTGAGTGAGTTTGTGAGCGTGTGGCATCACCCACGAGACCAATTGCCCTTTTTTGGGCCGAATCCAACAGTTTTAGGGTATGTTTGAGTGCTGCACTCCAAATATAGAAACAGTATTCCAGGACAGGTCGGATCTGTGCCTTATAGATCATAAGCAGCTGACTGGAAGAGGTGGCTATGTCTTTATTGACTAGTGACTCATAAAATGACGAAAGCTACGTTGGTAATAAAAACACACTCCACGCCTCGAAAATGATAGGTTTAATAGCTAGTGATGGAAAAAATATGTTTATGATTTCGATTCAGCTACCTCAATTTATTGAACAGAAATTGAATAAACAGTTGAAGTTTTATTATTGCATGTCCTCTAGGTGATGCTTTTGAAATTATTAGAGCCAACAATTACAATTGTATTCATTGAAGCATGGAAATAATTTCATAGATAGAGCTATTCATCACCAAACGGTTGAAGAATTATTGTCGTATCAATTGCTCTTTATACAACGTTCTATTCACATTCATTGGACATTTGAATCGCTGAAAATGTTCAACTTCATGCATGGTCTAACAGTTGTTGACTCCTCTTCAAAAATCGTTGCAAATATTTATAGGTTTCAACGCCCCTTGGTTGCTTCTCATTTTTGATTGGTTATCAACCTCATTTGTAAAAATTTGGAGCACAAATCTCAGCAGGTGTCAAGGTTATGTGCTACGGAAGAAAGTTTTCTCTCAAACACATTATACAGTTCTCAACACACTGAAAATGGACCACTCACAATTTGACTCTATTTCGAAGACCTGTATTTTTTTTTAAATTGACCGATCTTCATGCGGTTTCAGATATCAGATGTGATATTCCATCGGCTTCGAAAAGAGCTAGAACACTCCAAAAAAGTCCGCAGAACAAAACTTACACAGGGTGTTAAGTGGAACCGTTACACTATGGTCTACATTTCCAATGCTGCCAGAACTCGAGAAATTTTTTTCTGATCAAAAGTCAGTCATATTATAATACACTGGGACCTCATCTCAGGACGTTTCCGTGATTCCTCTTAATTGGCCATTGGAACAAAAATTCGATTTTTTTTTTCGAAAGTCCTACATTTCTTGAACCTTTTCTCTGGAACTCTACTGGAGCTGACTATTGAGAAGAACTATTCTCATGTTTTGTGGAAGACAATGAAAGACGAAAAGAGCACTTTCTTGGAATATACAGGATGATGAGAAAATAGGACAAAATATCATTTCAGTAAAAGAAATCGAAAATGGTGACTAAAACTATGGCCCATTCGATTCAGTATACTCAGAGACGGCCTTCTCGATATCCTTTATTTATATTAGACTATTCGAGACGTTTTCGAAAATTTGCCTCTAATTGAAATACAGGATGAAATTTTGAATTCAAACTTGTTTCCTGATGAGTATGAGACACAGAGTATTGTTGTTCAATATACTAAGTGTTTACAATTTATCTGACAAAGGACCCCGCACCGCATCAGTGGGAAATTGGCTTTCGGTGAAATTACTCGAATTTTTTATATATTGTAGAACTCGTGGTGCTGATCAAATGTCTCCATTGCACCAACGCTCTAAAATCAACAGTTACGATTATATAGGGTGATAAAGTTTACTTTTGAAGAATTTAAGATAGACATTGTGAAGACACCTTTCATAATTTCGAAACCAAATCAACTGTGCATTGATTGTTTGAATGACCGATACGAATCTACTATAAACTATAATGATTCCTGCACGTACCAACAATATACAGGGTTGGTCGGAACATAGCGAATAATTCAGTGATTTTCTGAAAAGTGTGCGGTGGAATTTAATTTGAATTCTGTTGTATACAAATATCATCCCCATTTCGTGATATGAGCATCTCCTAATCATATATATTATATACAAGATGTTTTATTTTTGATGAAGTCACATCCATGGATCCATATTAGGTACTTATTATTGGCATCCTCAATATGACTTACAACTTGAACAACCTATGATGAATGTCCACTCTGCAAATCCGTGAAATATACAGAGTGGATGAAAAATCAATGGTCTTTGCTAATAACTTCTCAAGAGTAGTATGTGCAGATTCTTGTGACCCATTCTATTGACCCTGTTTCATAACGACATTATAATCAATAAAACTAATTTGAACCATTCGATGCAGTATATTTTTAATAACATGTTAGATCCATAAATTCGAGATGTGGAAGTCCCCTTTGGTCTCGCCTTTCAATAGCGATTTCTCGCTTCATTTCATCTGGTTCCCCCTCAAGTAGTACCATATTTTGTATATTGAATGCTGAATGACACGTAAAACAATTCAATCGGCGACGATTGGCCATTTTTCAAATAATTATTACTTTGGCTTCTATATGAACTTGACAGATGCAATAGTTGCAAATGCCAATGTTAAACAGATGAATATAGTTGCTATGTGCCTGCCATATTACATTATTTGAACCAGAGCAATCTTAACATGATCAAGATGAACATGGAGTCCATCATGAGAAGAGATCACCGTAATTGAATGAAATCAAAGATTCATTCGGCATTTCTAAAAATTCATCATTCGTCCTCACTCAATATTCTATTATTTTATATTACCATGATTTCATGATGAAATGTGTGTATGTTTCCAACTGATTTATATATTCATTTGTTAAATACGGTCTGTAGGTTAATTGAGGAGGTGAAATATTCATCATTATACTGGTGAATTTTTGTTTTAGGCTCTTTTATAGTGACATCTTTGGGGCAAATCATCTGATTTGTCCTTACTAGACGTATATTGAAGTGATACTCATATTTTTATTTTATAGAAACGAGGTGAGAAAATCCCAAAAAATCTGGAATAATTTATATATTTATGTTTATTGAAACTAATATAGCTGCTTCTATATCTTTATTGAGTACGTTATGAACTCGGCTATAAAGTCAGGAGTACTTTTCAAAGTGTTGATTTTCATACTACCTTATAAACCAACCAGATAGTATTGTTTATTGTTACATTAGGTATGTATTTCCGAGTATTTCAGATAGTTGGGTTCATCTTATTTATATGTATTTTTGTATGTATGTCTGTTTGACTCAAGAGACGCCAATGTATAATTAGCCAATTTGATGTTAGAAAAGGCTATCAGAGTCAATTTAGTATAAGCCACGATATAGAAGCAGAAAACCTACCAGGTGAAATTGGCAGGATCTCATATGAAAGATGTATATGATATCACGATGAAAATCAATTTCAATTCAAATACGAACGCTCATGGATTTTCACGAATGAGAATTCACTCAAGCTTCCGTAATTCCAAGAAATAACAATAAATTGTGGATCGCATTCAATGCCGGAAGACATTGACATGATGACACCTAATGAAAAAACGAATACATGAAATTAGTCATTCATAATATATTGTTTACTACTTTAATTTTGTTTTAACTGTTATGTTTACTTTACTTCAGCAGTGTTTGAGGGTTGAGGTATTCTAGAATTGAGTATGACGAGTTGTATTCAGGAGACTGTTCAAGAAGTTGAATAAATTCAACTTTTTCATTTCGTGAAACGAATTCGTTTTATGAATTAGTGATCGAGGAAATATAATCGCTTGTCATAACACGGAAGTAAAATACTATGTAAGGTACAGAACTTTTTTTGTGATTGAATATCAGAATATTTCGTTATCCATAATAACTGTAGATTCATTGTTCTTGTTTCCTATTGTTGATTGTTTCACTATCACCTGAAAAACCTATGATACCTGCATATTATCAAAAATATACTACATCGAATGGTTCAAATTATTTTTATTGAATATAATGTCGTTATGAAACAGGGTCAATAAGATGGGCCAAAAGAATCTGCACATACTACTCTTGAGAAATTATTAGCAAAGACCATTGATTTTTCGTCCACTCCGTATATTTCAAGTATTTGCAGGGTGAACATTCATCATGGAATGAACGAGATTCCCAATAGATTGTTCAAGTTGTAAGTCATAATGAGGATGCCAATAATAGTTACCTAACATGGATGTGATTTTATCAAAAATAAAACATCTTGTATATAATATGTCTGATTAGGAGATGCTAATATCACGAAATGATGATGATATTTGTATACTACAGAATTTAAATGAGAATCCACCGCACACTTTTCCGAAAATCACTGAATTATTCGCCATGTTCCGACCAACCCTGTATATTGTTGGTACGTGCAGGAATCATTAAAGTTTATAGTAGATTCGTATCGGTCATTCGAACAATCAATGCACAGTTGATTTGGTTTCGAAATTATGAAAGGTGTCTTCACAATTACTATCTAAAATTCTGGAAAAGTCAACTTTATCCCCCTGTATAATCGTAACTGTTGATTTTAGAG